CGTTTTGCTCGTTGTAGTGCGAGCAGAAGTGGATAAAAAGTGGATGGGGTGGGTACCTGCCAAGACATCACTTTAAAGGTTTTAGTACTGGAATCGCCGTTAGTACATTTTTGGAGTCAAAAGGAGTCGTGTTGAAGGTGTTCTGCTGCATTTGGAACGGCTCTTTCGTTTCCTCTCTCACGCTATGCTCGACATGTTCATCAGTTATTAGATCATTCAGAGTGCAGAATAACCTTGCCACTAACAGTGCTTCCCAATTTAATGTCCGCAGCAAAAACAAGCCCGTATTTGCACCCTTTACCTTCCCCTCCTCTCGGTCCTTCTCGATCACGCACCTCGTTTCCATGGAAGCAAATACGACTTGTCGCAACAAGTCCTCCAGCAACAAATGTCCCAGACCTCCTCGACTATGACAGTCCCTACCAGTGACTTCGCGGCCGATTCCAACCGCAGCTCAAGTTACTCGGCAGCAATGAAACAGAGTCCGAGTGACTCGCTAACGCCACAGACAGCCATGCCACTCAGAGAGGCTACCCAGATTGCTTTGCAGGTGCCTTTGGACGAGGACGAGACGAAGGAACTACTCTTGTGCTCGTTGTACATCTTCAAAAATTTAGAACAAGGTATGTCAAGTTAAACTGTATAACGAAAAAATATCAAATGAATTTCTGGACGTTACTGTATTTTGCGCAGGCAAGTAACGGCAAAATGGTCGTCCTAATCGTCAAGTGTTTTTGTCTTTTTTTGACAAGTTAAGCTTATGTCGATTACATATATGTGGATCAATCAGCTGCTCCCTTCCGTTGTCCTATCTGAAGATAGTATTCGAAATAAACGTTCAGTCGACAACGAGCCGGACTAACACCTTAACTGCTAGTTCGAATGACGAGCAGTTGGACGTTTGACACGAGCCTTAAGGTAACTTTAGTTTGTTTCTCCTCAGGCGTGATTCTGGATTGGTGGCGTCAGATCCTGTCATCTTCAATTAAACGACCTCACTGGCATCCTACAGTGTTGTATTTGATCCAGCAGGACAAGAATTACTGCAAGTTTGCCGCTCTTATTGACGTGTTTGACTTGTTAGAGTAAGTTTGCCAAAAGAAAAATAAATAAATAGAACAATAGAATAAATAGTAGCTTCTCCAACAGTTTTGGGCCAAACTAAATTAGTGGCTTCGTGTTCAGTCATTATCGCAAAACCTAGCCTGTGTAGCAAACGTTCCGTATAAGCGATGAGTTTCTCTCCTGTTGGTTGCACGAAACTTGGGGCGAGAGCAAAAAATTTGACGCCTTCGATGATGATGATTATTATTATTATTTGGCTCTGGCTCCAATTTTCGCGCGACCAGACTTTGCTCCCATACGGAACGCTCGCCACGCAGGCTATACTAAACAAGATCTTAAAATTAGGATATAACGTATCGTTTGGCAATTTTCACAGATTTAAACAGAAAACAACTAAATCGCATGGGTGAATGTCTGCGAGTTACACTACTTATATTACTTGCCGAGGCTAAACGGTGATTAGAAGGTGGAGTAAAGTTTATGCGACCATGCATTATTGACTTGTTTGTGTTGACTGTTCTTTACAGACTTGCTTTGAAGCACTTTCAGTACGCTGGTAAAGAAAAAATTACTTCCCAAAGGTAAAATGCATCACTATATGGCTTGCGATCACTGTTTTCAGTGTAAAATTTGGAACCTAGAAGGAAGACAAGACAATCGACATACGGAGCGTCATCAGGCGTCAGTTGTTCGAAGGCTGGATAACGTTATCCACCGGATAAATCTCCATCCAGTGGATAAGTTTTAACAAAACAAACCACGCTATCCACTTGATAGTGATTTATCCGGTGGATAGCGTTATCCACCTTTCGAACAACCCGGACCAGAGCAAGCCTCGGAAACTTTTCAGGCCCGCAAAGCCAGTCCAGCTTTAGTTAATCGGTGTTTAAAGACAGAGAGTTGTATACGCCTGAAACTTCTTGTATGAAGGGAACCTGTTCATATTAAAATATGTGCATAAAACAGCTCTGTGCTACGGCTTTTCGGGTGCATAAACTTTCCGGGGCTTTCGAAAAACGGACCCCTGGTCTTTAGGAAACGCACAGAGGAGTACACCCCAATGACCAGTGCTTACTACTTGATTCATTCAATAATTATATTTCTGATTAATTGATTGACTTCTTGATCAATTGACGTATTGATTAATTATTTGATTGATCGATTGATTTCTTGTCTATGTGTAGTCAGCATTCAATGTAATACATTCTTTCTTGGACTCTCTTTATCGTACTTACCATACACGTACCTTTCCATACTTTTAAAACCCGGCCATCTCAATGGCAGGATCTTATGCACGCTAACACGCCATTTGTGCAAAACCTAACTTTTAACTGGCCTGTGAATTCATCCCTAAAAGCTCCGTAGGTGCAAAAACTAATTTCATGGCATATCAGGTAAAAGCGTTTATAACGTTCAATGGATTTTTAAAGTTGTCATCCCAGGTTTTAACCACTATAAAGCTATAAAGCGTGTACTTAAACTACAGAGATATTTGGAGGAGCACTGTCATTGTTATTCACTAAAATAGACTATTTGACAAGAAATAAAAATAAAATGAAATGAAAGACGTACCAACTCTCTAAAATGGTCACCTCAGAGTGTTCTTTGTTTGATCCACACTGTCAGACCTGAAAAACAGTCACAAATGAAAGGACTGCTCGAAGGAATTTACGGCTTCCATATGGATCTCTAGTCACACACAAGGCTCCGGAGTGTCAATATGGAATTCCAACGGGTCAATTCCCACTGTTCCCACCAAATCATTATAAATTTTCGATTAATTTGTCAGGTCATGTAGCTGACCCGCTTGTCGGGTTTTTGACCTGAGACCCTCACCTATCTGGAACACTGCACACAGGTTTCATAGTTTTAATCTCCAGACTGACTGAGTTAGACGACCCACGTTGTACGGCGTAATCGAGAGTGTACCGTACCTGCTCAGTAGCTTTCATATGAATTGGTTACACACTGGTTTTCATCCACAGACTTACAATTTGGAGCCAGTCTCTTCAGCGTTACAGAGAGGAACAGAAAGAAGCACTGAATCAAAATTTCAACTTAGCAATTCATCTCTCTGTTCTTTTCTTCATCCATGGTCTGTTTTTGTTTTTCGCTTCATCTAAGGGG